CTCTGTTCTTCTACAGTCTCTGTTATTTGCCTTCAAAGATTCCTGACACAGTCCTTTATTGGCCTTTTCACTACAGGAAGTTTATTTACACTTTGTGAGACTCAGTTTCCATGTCTACAACATAGGGATAAGTGTCTGCCTTCACTGTTGTTCTGAGGATTAAATGGCATAGTACGGGCAATGCAGATAATTCTTGAGTAAAGACTTTTAGTTAACAGAAATATTTAAACCATGGGGAGGGAGAAATTGGAAATTTCATGTGAATTCAAATGCATGCCTCACAAGGGCGATGAACTACGGGAACTGATACTCGGTCTTGACACCAAAAATGACAGGGAGGAGTGAGGACGGGAGGAAATTAGAAAAGTTGGGTCTCATCTAATGGAACAGCTTCTCAGGGTCAGCCAAGCATCACCATTTAAAAATTTAGGCCCAGATTTGCCAAATCTTTCCTTAAAAAAAAAAAAAAAGCTATACATCCCAATTTTAATGAGAAATCCATCAACTTTTAAGTATTGGTGATAAATTCAAATTTATTTCAGTTTCTAGATTTAGAACATGGAGTAGGATTATTAGGATGCCTGTAGCCTACAGAACATTTCTATATTTCCATTTCTATTTTTCATCTGTTAAATGAGAAGCGGTCAAAAACTTAAGAACAGAAGAAATCATGAGCTTTCTATTCAAACAAAGGCTGTTAGCTTTTCAAGAAGTGTGATTCTTACCAAGAAATAGAACTGGAAAGAATCCATATTGAGAAAATAATCTGAAAAAAACAAAGGAAGAATGTTCCAAATGGTGTTGAAACAAATTATCCTGGCAGCTCTGTTCGGGACGGCTGGCATAGTGAGATGCGTTCACACGGACCAATTAAAAAAGAGCTACTGCAGTATATTACTCATGGTATCTACAAAGTCATTAACAAACACCAAGGAACATATCAAATAAATTATGATGGAACCCTATAATGAAATATTATTTGACCATTTAAAACTAGTGGTGGGAAGCAGAGGTTTACAAACACTGAGTGCATCAGAATGGCCAGGGAGCTTGTCAAATGTACAGATACCCAAGCTTTACCCCAGTCCTTCTGAGGGAGAGTCTCCACAAATGATTTTGGGCCATCTGAATATTTAAAAACTTCCCAGGTGATTCTAATGCAACCCACCAACTTGTGAAAACACTTCAAAATCAAAAGCCAATTGTGCAACAGTATGCATAGTATTGTGTTAAATTAAGATTTGCTTCTGCTACATATGAAAGAAACTCTTTCCCCCACATAATAGTAGTTGAAACAAGATAAAAGTACGTTTCTCATATAAATGAAGTCCAGAAGTAGCCAATCTAGTTGGCAGCTCCACAAAGAAGTTAGGGTCTAGGCTACTTCCAGCTCACCGCTCTGCCATACCTAAAGTATAGCCTCATTCTCACAGTCCAAAATAGAAGCTAGAGCTCCAGCCACTACATCTTCATCCCAAGCAAGGAAGGGAGGAAGAGATAAATAAGGAGCAATGGCATATGTCAACTGTTATTTTTAAGAGATTTCCCAGAAATCGCACCATGACTGTCATTTACATGGTCAGAAGTTAGTCAAATAGCCATGCCAGCTACAAAGGAAGCGGAGAAAAGTCTTTTTTCAGGAGGCCATGTGTTCAGCTATAAATCAGGAATTCTATTACCAAGAAAATTTGAGAGAACAGACATTGGGTACACAAACAGCGATTGTTATCAGAAGTATAATATTAATATTGTGAATACATAGTGATTTGAACCATATAAAATTACTATTTTAAGTAAAAAATAGACAAATATCAGCAATTCATATGGTTCATTTATTACGTTTCTATAGAAAAAAGTCTAGAAAGATAAACGGTATGTAAAGACATAAATATTTGTTATCTCAGTTTGTGGAATCCAGGTACCTGTGTATTTTTGTGTCTTTTTCAAAAATAATGATCATAATATGTACAAAAATGAAGGTTAAAAACAACATGCAAGTTAGTTATAATCATACTTTAATAAAATATATTAATATAATTTGTGTGCATGCATACATACACATACGTACACACATACAAAAAGACATGAGATATATTCATCAATCAAACTGTTATTTCTGGGTAGTGGATTATAAGCGGGTTTCATTTTCTTCCTTATATTTTTTTTCAAATTTCTAACCAACAGCTTGTAACACTCCTGCAATGAGAAAAACAAGTATAGAAAAAAAAAAAAGAAATTAAAAGAGGGTATCATAAGACCAGAAAAAGGCCTTGGCAGTGGTCTAGATGTGCAATAGGGAAGGTCTGGCTGGACATGGTAGCAAAAGGTTAACATGGGGCTCACAGAAACATGTCTGAAATCATTGCACAACAGAAAATGCAGTGAGGGTGCCTGTGTGCCAGGCCCTGTTCCAGGCCCTGGGGATACCGAGCAGGTATAATAGGTCAGGTCCATGTCTTCCTGGAACTTTACACATATTGATTGGTTTCTTCTACAAAACAGCTTAATGAAGCACACATTACTATTACGTCTAATTCACAGAAAACTAGGGACACAGAGCAGTTGAATCTCCTACTCCAGGTCACCCAACTGATTCCGACGTAGCAACTCTAGGATTTGGATGGGGTGGAACAGCCTGACGCCAGGGCTTACATCCTGATGAGAATTACCTGTGGCACTTGTGAAATCTATGCAAATTACCAGGTCTTGCCCTGGGGAATTCATATGTGGTAAGTATGATTTGGGACCCAAGAATTTTTCTTTAGCAAGCCCTCCCAGGTGCTTCTTCTCTTTAGGCGAATGTAAAAAATATTGCTCTCAACAAAAGGAAGCTGTGGCAACAGAAGTGAGAATGGTGGTTACCTCTGCAAAGTTGGGGAGCAGAGTAGCATTGACTGGAAAGGGGCATGACGGAGCTGGGTAGGGGCTAGAAATGCCGTGTCTTTATCTGGGTGGGAGGTTCTCTAGGTGTGCACATATGTAAACATTCATCAAGCAATAAAAAATAAATACTGCCCTAGGCTGCAGTGCCCTGATGGATCATGTTACCTAGATAGGTATAATGAAGGTGATGTGATAACATCCCAGGGGGAGTCGAGAGATAGGAAAAGGTCTCTCTGGGAAGGTGATATTGCATTTGACCCTGGATGACCTAAAAAGGCCAGTCATGCAAAAGCAGGGAAAAGCAATCCAGGCAGAGGGAAGAGCAGATGCAGAGCCCCTGGGTCAGGAAGAGCTGGGCTTGTTCGAGCAATTGCAAGGAGGCTGGTGGAGCTGGCCTGAGCAATGCAGGAAGAGTGGTCAGATGTGCAGTGGGACTGGTGGGCAACACGAGTTCCATCTCTCACTTTCCTGCCTCAGGGCTCTTGCTCCCTCCAGTTCTTCAGGCTGGAATTGCCCCCACCCCATCCTCGACAGGGCTGCCTCCTCCCCAGCTCCTTGTTCAAATATTACCTGCTCGAAGTAGCCTTCAACGCCTCCCACAGCCACCTTCACATCCCTGTTTTACAGTCTTTGGAGACCTTATCAGTACCAAAAAATTGCACTGCTGATTGATTATTTCATGTGGACTCCCTCCCTAGCCTCTAGCCAAGCTCTACTGGAGCAGGTGCCCTACCTGTCTCTACCTTCAGAGGGTAGCACGGTGCCTGGAACACTGCAAACACTTATGAATAGCGAGTTGCTGGAGGAATGAACAAACCCTTGAAGGAAGCAGCAGGGGACAGTCCATTTGTTGTACAAGCCACATTTACTGAGAACCTACTGTGAGTCAGGCACTAGGTCAACTCACTAAAACAAAGAGATTGTTTTTAAATCCCCCCTTTCATGGGTACTTACTGAAAGTCAGGGGGAGGAGGAAACATAATATACAAATATCTTTATCTATGCAGATGGATATACACTCACATACATAGAGATACTTGAGATCCATCCTACGTTGGAAGTAATACGTTTTAAGAAAGACAAAGCAGTCAGGAAGGGACAGGGAACGGTTGGGTGGGGGAAGAGAGAGTTGCAATATTAGAATGGGCTGGCCAAGGATGGCCTCTCTAAGAATGTGAATTTGAATCAAGACCTGCAGGGGCTGGGCGACAGGCGGATACAGAGAGGATACAGGCCGGTGACAGACGGATACAGAGAGGACGCAAAGTGCACACGTCTGGAGGCCGAAGAGGGCTGGAGCTTGGGAGGTGAGCAGAGACAATGGGGCAGAAGCCGGAGGGATGAGGTCAGGCGAGCCGGGACTGAAGAGAGGGCAGTGTCGTCAGCGTGCGGACACCGACCAACCTCAGGGGCATCACTTGGGAACTTAGAAATGCTCGTTCTCAGGCCTCGCCTCAGACCTACTCCACCAGACACGCCGGGGTGGGCCCAGCAGCGGGCGTTCCGACGAGCCCCCCAGGCGGCCGTGACGCGCGATGAAGTTGGAAGCCCCCCGGAGTAGGGGACCCTTCAGCGCCACGATCGCAGTTGTTATCTTATCGTCCACATCATCACGGTCCTCTTGATTTCGCCTGCTGGGCAGGGGACCCGCCCAGCGCTCTGCTGATTTGCCCAGCGCTGACGCCCAGCCGGGCTTTCTCCGGAGCCCGCCGCGCCCCGCGCGCCCACCCCCGAACCGCGCCGACGCGGGGGTCTCCGCAGAGCGCCCAGGCGTCCCGGGCGCGACGCCGCAGCACTGGGGCTCTGGGGGCCACACGCCCGGGGCGGCAGGTGCAGAGGCGCCCCGAGCCGGGGAGGCCAATCGCAGCCGCCGAGAACGCAGGGTGCGGGCGGGGCCGCCGGCCATCGCGACCCGGGGACGCATCCCTGGTCGCCCAGCCCGCTGGGACGCGCGTGGCCATCCGGATCCCCGAGCGGGGGGCGGTTCCGCGGGCCCGGGGCCGCGCGGCCCGGGCCTCAGGATTCGCCCGCCGCTTCCCCGGGGAGCCACCGCTGCAAAGCCCGGTTGGGGCGGCCGGGCCCGGCCAGCGCCCTCTAGGCAGCGGAAGTGGAGCTTGCTTTACATCCGTCCTCCCCGCCTCGCAGAGTTGGGAGAAGGAAGGCTGGGGGGGTGTGGAAAAATAAAGGAAAAGTCCTTGCACCATGTAGATCAGCGCCCCCCACCCTGGCACCCCGGCCGGCCGGGGACCTCCCAGTCTGCGCCATGAACGCGAGCGGCGAGGGCGAAAGCTTCCCGGGCTCGGTGCAAAGTAAGTGCTTTTCCGGGCGCAGTGCGCGCTCCGGGGCCCTGTGCGCGCTCCGGGGCCCGGGCCCAAGCACGTCTGCGACGCAGCCAGCAGGCCCGGGGCCCCGAAATCGGGGTGACGGCCCCGAGCCGCGTCTCGGGAACCGCGGCGGGCGCGCGGTACGTGGGGCGCCGGAGTGAACTTGGGGTGGGGGCGCACCCGATCCGACCCGACCCGGTGCCAGGCGGGGGGCGCTCTCCAGCCTGGCGAGACCCCTTGGCTGGGAGCGGTGGGGGAGGGCATGCCGTGCAGACAATCGCCACCCCCTAAGGGCATTCCCGCCCAGCCAGGCGGAGTTTGGGGCGGGCGGCGGGGAGGGAGGAATCTGGGGTAACCGGGGCAACGCTGATGGGAAAACTTCTGCCTCAGTGGCTCAAAATTGGAGCCTGGGGAGTGGGGGAGCTCACGACGTCTCGCCGGCTCCTTGCAAAGCCTTTTCCACATTAAGGGTGGGGATCTGAATGGGAAACGGGGCCGTGGTCGCTTTCTTTGAGTTTGGGGTTCAATTTTTATTTTCCTGATGAGGACATCAGCCTTTTTCAAGTCCTGGTACCGCCCGGTGCATTGTTTCCCAAAGTGTGGTCCGGGGACTAAGCGCAAACCAGCCACCTGGGAGCGCGAGCGTGTATTTTAAAAAAGCTTTCGGGGCCCCACCCATCAGATCTCGGGGGTGGGGCTGGGGAATCCGCCGTCCTCACTAGCTGCCTGGGCGATTCTGAAGCACATAAAAGTTTGAGAACCCCTGCTGGTACAGGGGTTTGCAGCTACCTGGCGCATAGTAAGTGCTCATCTCGTTAGCTGCTACTGGTAACAATTTTGGAGACACTGGCTTCCAAACTTAGCTGGGCATTTCTCGAATTACTTCTGGAAAGCACAGATCTTCCCAAAACCTAGCCTCCTCACCCCACCCTGTTATGACTCAGTATCTCCTAGGTAGGGGCTCAGATATGTCCATGGGTGTCTCAGTAATAGCCCCACCGGGTAACATGCTGGAGGATTGGGCTGCGGGCTGGGGGCGGGGGGGGGGGGTGATGGGGGGCTGTGCTGGCCTTTTACAAGCACCATCTCATTTAATCCTCACATCAACCCCATGAAGTAGAAACCTCTCTTCTCCCCATTTTACAGATGAGAAAAACCCAGGCCCAAGGTCACTGTTGGTAAGTGATAGTGTCAAGATTTTAAGGAAGGTCTAGGTCATTGCTTGTGTACTCTCCAAATACCAGCGACATTATTTGTTATTAAAACTCTTTCATCCTGGATATCAGTCCTGTTCCATCATTAAGGAATCCTCAGCAATGCTTTTCTTCATTTCTCAGATCCTTATTTCCCTGTTAGTCCCATGGATACCTCAGTAGCTGCAGGAGACAGTGCTCCCAAGAACAAACGGTTTCATTCCTTCCATCCATGGATTTCAAAGTACTTATGTGCATAGGGTGTTCTGCAAGACGGCTTATAAAACATCACAGCACCCAGCCTATGGTCTCTCTCCTTAGCAAGTCAACCAAATTGTATTGCCACACAGAGATTTCTTGTCTTAGTTAGATCTGGAGAAAATTGGACATAATGTAAATATCTTATACATTTTCAGAAAACTATAATGCATGGACACCAACCATATATGCACAAAGGTATTATTTAATTTCAGGAAAATTAGAAATAATGTTAATACCTTATTGCTGAGAAAATGGACACATGGATACCAAGGAATAATGTGTTGCCATTAAATAATTATATCTATAAAGATATTTTAACAATAAAGCACAATGCTTATGTAATATTATGTAAGGAAAAGATTAATGTTATAATACATCATGATCTTATACAATTTTTAAGTGTAGAGAAGAATGGAAGAAAAATTTTGTTATGTTAATGGCAGGCATAGGTGAAAAGATTGTGACTTTTCCCCTTCTTCATATGTTTCTTCCAAATTTTCTGTTATAAACTTGAGTTTTCTTATAATAAGGCAAAAAACATTTTTAAAATAAAAATTAAGGTAGTCATGTTAGAGATTTATTAATTATATTTCTTTAATAAATATCTATACTTTCTAATATAATGCCAGGCACTATGCTAAATGCTTTGCAAATATTAACCAGTATTAACTGCTCATATCATTACTATCAAGAAATAGTGGCCCTCTTAGTTCAGAATGAATTTTGGCTACAAGTAAGAGAAACCCAAACTATACTGGCTTAACGAAGTCTGGAATTGGTTGATTCCAGGGTTGAATCAGGGAATCAGTGAAGGGCCAGAATCTGTAGGCATCTTGGCATTTTCCTCATAGTTACAAGATGGCTGCAGAAGCCCCTGGCATCACTTCTGCATCCAAAGCCAAAAGAGGGGTATAGTGCCAACTGCTTCTGCTCTTTTTTTTTTTTTTTTAATCATGAATGCCAAAGTTTTCCCAGAAACTCCTCTAGCAGTGTGCTCAAGGGGTTCACAAGTATGGAGGGGACCAAGATTATTTAGATGAGTGGTTCTCATAGTGGGGTCAGAGGTTAGAAATGTAAGGGGACCAGTTTTCATAATGATTTTTTAGTTGGGGTAGGAGATGGCTGCTGTTCCTGCAAAGTGCAGGGCAGCCCTGCACACTAGAGAAGTTTCTTGCAAACAATGCCACTAGTGCCCCATGGGCAACAGTGGAGCATAAGGCATCACTTGGATCTGGGTACATTGCTGCTAGGACAGAATTGGGATTCTGTTTGCAATGAAGAAGAGGGGAGTGGAATGGGTAATGGGCCACCACCTAGCCATGTCTGCCACCATGCCTTTTCTTCCTACCGTGAATCTGGTTTGCATTATAATTTAAAGCTGTTTGGAATTAATCTGTGACTTTCCCTTTGTCCCATGGAGTTCCAGGTGGCACAACTGTGCTGGTCGAGCTGACTCCCGACATCCACATCTGTGGCATCTGCAAGCAGCAGTTTAACAACCTGGATGCCTTTGTAGCTCACAAGCAAAGTGGCTGCCAGCTGACCAGCACATCCGGAGCAGCCCCCAGCACCGTCCAGTTTGTATCGGAGGAAACAGTGCCTGCCACCCAGACGCAGACCACCACCAGAACCATCACCTCGGAGACCCAGACGATCACAGGTACAGCTGGGGGTTTGGGGAGCCAGGCGAGAGTTGGCCCGGCCATGTCGCAAAACACCTCCGTGGAACTTGTTAAAAAATATAGATTCCCAGGGCTCACCCCCTAGGGTTGGCTCATTCATTATTTTTAACAAGCCCCACCGGGAAGCCAGCTGCCCAGCCACGTTTGGGAGCTGCTAGGTTAAAACCTTAAGTGTTAGCAGTTATAAATGTTGTCACATGTTAAACAAAACAGACAAAAAACCGGTTTCTAAAACAAAAATCTATGTATGAAGAAAAAGACTCACAGGAAATACGTTGCAATAAAAAAAGATGGTTGTTTTGGGTGTTGGAATAGGTGTGTGATCCCTGAGTTTGCATTACTTGTGTAAAGGGACAGAAACATGTTTTGGTTTGTTTTAAATCTACAAACAGGCATTGATGTCTTCCCTGTGTTGCTGACCAGCAAAACAGAAAGCCTATCCCGGTTCTCTGTTTTGTCCACTCACTCCACCAAAAATAAATTACAGATGTATCAAAACTTTAAGTGTATATAATAAAACCATAAGTTCTAGAGGAAGTACTGTACTCACACATAGATACACAAACGCCTCCCATCCCTATACTTATACCTGTATAATCTGTCTTAGGGGCCAGGCAGATAACTTTAAAAGTATGAAGGAACCCATTTATGAGATAGTACTAAGACCTGTGGGAAAATGGAGAATGTATTCCTTAGCTAAAGACATTTGATTATAAAAACTATATTAACATGGCTACCAAAGAAGGCACTTTGTGGACCACTCTCACCCCCTCAAAAGGAGAAGAGTCATAAATGTGATTGCAAATAAAGTTACAATTTTTCCAAAGTATAAAACAAAGTATAAACAAAGTCTAAAGACAAACAACTTGGGAAAAAAATTGCAACATATATGATTAAGGCCTAACATCCCTCATATCCAAAGAACTCTGAAAACCAATAAAAGTTGAAAGAAAGAACAAAGTAGGAAAGTCAGTAAATGATGTACAAGAGACCACTAGACATAAAATGATGTTCCTTCGCCTTAGTAATTAAAGAAATGCAAATCAGGCCGGGCGCGGTGGCTCACGCCTGTAATCCCAGCTCTCTGGGAGGCCGAGGCGGGCGGATTGTTTGAGCTCAGGAGTTCGAAACCAGCCTGAGCAAGAGCGAGACCCCGTCTCTACTAAAAATAGAAAGAA